AAATGTTTAACGGGATGTATCACCATTAATTATAATTAAAAAAATACACCCCTTTGTAGAATGAAATCAACAATACTTTCAATTTAATTTTTAACTACATGGTTAAATCCACTAAAAAGTTTATAGAAAACAAACTATTTCGAACCAATCGTGAAGCTGTGCATCAAATCAACGAATGTTTTTCTTCGAGGGTTGCAACGATTCCTTTGACTCGGTCAAAAATACCGACAAGAGCCGGAACATGCCCCAACGCGAACGTTCGAGGCTCGACATTGGAGCTCTGGGTCGATGAACCGTCAAGCCCCCAACGTTCGAGGGTGTTCATAGCATCGTGTAGCCCAGCATTGACTCGGTCCAAAATACCGACAAAGGCTGGAACATGTTCCAACGTTCGCGTTGGAAGCTCGACATTCGTAGCTCAAAGTTCGAAAGTCGGCCACACGATGCGACGAACCGTCCACCCTCCAACGTTGGAAGGTGTTCGTAGCATCGTGTGGTGCCGGCATTACTGATTCGCATTTGCTTCTCCTCCTCAAAATGAGTTTTAATGAATGAAGTTTTAATCTTTTTGGCAGGTTTGCCCCGGTGAATTTATTTTTCTCTTGTTCTTTAGAAAAAACATATAAACTTAATTTCTGTCAGTAAATTTTAAATTTATTTTATAAAATACATTATTAGGTTATTACCATATTAGCAAATTTGTTCTGCTTCTATTTGTACTTTCCCTTTTTCTATTAGGTTGTCAGTATTTTGACTTCCACCTTCTGGCTTATTTTCTTCAGTCTGTTCTGAAGATGCAAGTCATTATAAATTATATCGATTATTATATGTTTATTTATTTCGAATTTTCTTGTTTCGAAAACTCCTGTACTGTCCCATTGGTTTGAAATGGTATAGTCAATTGTCGGAACAATTGACCGTACCAAGTCATTTAGGACATTGTCCTTGGCCTCATTTCTGGCTGGGGAGCCTCCACCAGTTAATATCATGCTGTGTCTGTTTTCGGAGTCAGCCTTCCTTTAAATAGCAAATAAAGGTTTTCGAAAATGTTAATAATATGTGACTACAACTACTTGCACTTAATATTCTCCCAACATTTGCTCAACTGAGATGATGTTCTTGCTAATACATCATGGGAATTATTCTGTTTAGTAATATTTGTCAGTTTTCTTACATTCTAATCTATCCTTGAATAGAGTAATTATATTTGTTAACAGCGCCTTCTCTCTACCTGGATATACGATTTTACTCTGCCGATCCATTTGCTTGCTAATATTGAAAATAACCGTTTACACTTCAATGGTCTCTTCGAAATCAAGGTGACCAGACTGAGGAATGGCGATGTCGCCAACTACCGACAAATTTCGCCAAACGTAGACCTAAAAATCGCCGGTTCTGGCGCCAAGTAAATTCAAATGGGGGTAAACCAATAAAAACAAACCGGAACGATTTAAATTAATCAAGAACTTTAGTTGAATTGAAATTATATGTGTTTACTTGTGTGTCTAAAATATATTAATGAGAGAAATATATTTTTTTAATCCAGTAATTTTGACTTATACTAATGTAAGGAACATCAAATTCTCGAAGTAATCAATCAATCTAGGTCAATTATAAAAATGTTCACAGTTTTTATTATTTTTAGTTTGTCTAATTGTCTAAGTTTAAGTGAGATTCCATCCTATTCCACTTCTAAAATCCCATTAACGTTTCCTAAGACCTAGGTATATAATATACTATTATTAAAGCGAAACTTGAACACGCTGTACTTCCTTATCGAAGCGTTTCTCGAATGTACCTTACAATGCAATTCATATTGTTTTTAGATTCTCAATCAAACCCTGAATTTGTAGATTTCGAAACTGAATCATCCTGCATCGACACAAGTACATAAAGCATGAAACTGCTATTTACAGACTCATTTGTTTCAGGTCGCGATCAAAATAATCGACAAATCTCAACTGGATGCTGTTAATCTGCAAAAGGTCTATAGAGAAGTCGATATAATGAAAAGGCTGGACCATCCTCATATAATTAAACTTTATCAGGTAAGTTTTTGTAAAAGAGTGAATGGGATTCGAGTGTGTAAAGAATTGTGCAAAATAATACTAATTTTTTATTTATTTACCCAGAAAAGATTTACAGCAAATTTTACATTAAACTGTAAAACTCTGCAGAGATAAACACAGTTATCTACATCCAGGTCCAGTTGCAAGAAAGAAAACTTAACAAATATATAACAATAAGAAAAAATCTTACACATTAACAAAAAGTATAGTTTTCTTGATTGAGCTGTCAAGAAACATTTCTTATTCTATTATATCAGATACGATTATTACGAGATACAGATTAACAGTAAATACTTTATTAACAGATAGATTATTAACAGATAGAAAGATACATTATTAACAGTAAAAAACTGTAGAACTCAGTTAGATTTTATACAATCTTCCAGATACCAATACTTTGCATTCACAAATTGAGCAGGAGTTAATTAACTGAATTCGAGAAGCTGCTTGATAAGAGTGGATAATAAGGAGATTACACGGGAACTAACTTGTTTTGAGTTAATGACTCAAATGCATTTTTATTTGTAAACAGAAATTCGAAGTTATGAGGACAGGTTGACATATCAAAAGTCCTATCCTTGTCTATTTTATTGTCACTTTCTGTATAATTACATGGATAATCATTACGAAGCGACAGGTATTTGCGCAATGTTAATTAGGCAGATTACATTGAAAAACATTGTTGCCGTCTTTCTGATATAGTTTTTTTTGCAAATTTCTCAGTTTTTAATAACAATTAATTTTTTTAAATAATCAGCAGATTGGAGAAAAAATTAAAGTATGTACAGTACTAGAAGAAGACGATGTGGAAATCGCATGGAAGAAACTAAAGACAAATATAATAAAATCTGCGGAAGAGGCACTTGGAAGCAGATTCATCAGAAGTGATATAAAAACCGAATACCAAACCCTCGTTTAATCAAAAAATGAAACTACTGGCTGAGGAGAAACGAAAGGCAGATCTAGAATACAGATTAAAGTCAATCACATACAATGAATACAAAATTGTTATAAATAGTACCAATAACCACATCCAAACAATAAAACAGGCTTACTGGGAAAAATTCTTCAAAGATATGGAATACGACCTGTGGGGAGGTCAAAAAAAAGCTTCGAACCAGGAAAAAACCAATAAACGAATACATACAAACTACCAGGATATCTACTAAAGACTGGGAAGAAACACTTTTGTGAGCTATATAAGGAGCCTAACGTCAACGCTAAAACCATCAAATCACAATTAAACGATAGTAGCACACATCAACGGTCGAACACATGGAGGGAAAGGATAAAACAACTATTTGGAAAACTGCAAAATAGAAAGTCGCCGGGAATGGACGAGATAAGAAATGATCAAATGCGGAGGTGATATTTTACTAGACCAGATACATGCCTTCTTTAACAAAGTACTGCACAAAAATAAAATACAAGCAGAGTGGAAATATAGTATTACCATACCAATTTTCAAAAAGGGATAAAAAACAGACTTAACTAACTACAGAGCTTAGGTACTTAAAAAACTGACTTACGAAGATCTTTGAGGAAGTAGTAGCAGCTTCTGGAATATGCGAAGAACAACAGGGATTCAGAACGAACAAATCCACTATTGGTGTAATATTCACCATCCGGCAAATAACCGAAAACGCTATAGAATTTAATAAACCAGCTTTTATGTGCTTTGTTGACCTGGCTAAGGCTTTCGACAGAGTAAGATTATCCGACGTCGTGCCGCTTTTGCAGGAGAGAAATATTAACCGCAACATAATAACAATTATTGCGGAACTCAACACAGACAACCACACTTTCATAAAAGCCGCAGGCAAACTATCTGAGAAACTATCCATATCAACTGGAATAAGGCAGGGAGACAGCTTAAGTCCTGCATTATGTAACATCATAATGGACGAAATTATTACAGAAATCAAGAAGGTTGGCAGAGGGTATCGAATGGGTGATGAGGAAATAAAGGTGATATGCTATGCCGACGACGCCGTGCGTCCTCATCCGAAGATGAGGACAACTTGCAAAGGCTTCTTTTTAAGTTTGAAGGGATGGCGTCCGGGTTAAGCATGCAAATATCCACAACCAAGGCACAGTCTCTCACGGTATCAAGGGAACCGCGCAGATGCAAGCTTGCCATCTACAACAAGAGCGTCGAACAGGTTATGCAGTTCAAATACCTTGGGGTCAACATAACAACTAGTAAAGAAAAAGTGAAAGTGCAGACAACAAAAGCAGCATTGATATCGTGATATTTGAGAGACATAATATGGCGAAATAAATCTATGTCTGTGGAGCGCAAAGCCAGAATATACAAAACCTGTGATGACGTATGCAGTCGAAACCAAAGCGGAAAGTGCCCTAACTGAACGGCTTATAGGAACAACTGAAATGAGAACTCTAAGATCTATGGTGGGATGTAGCCTACTGGACCATGTAAGAAGCGACGACATAAGAACTAAGTGCGATATCCAAGACGTCGTGAGACGTTGACGGGATGGGCAACACCAGACAGAAAAATTGCCAGAAAGGGAGTACCACGTTCAAAAAGGCCCCCGGGACAACCACCAACCCGCTGGTATGAAAGCTGGAGTTCAGCGTCACAAGTTCTAATATGATGTTTAACTGTGCTTGTAAAGGTGAGACGTGTGCCCTCCCGATAAAATATATCTGAGTACTTCCTACAAAGGGATAAAATTGAGTCTTTTTCTTCGCGATTCATATGATGTGTGCGAATTAGGGACCGATCAAATTTTCAATTTTCTGGTGTATCAACTAAATTATATAAATCTATGTTTTGGAGATCAGCCCTGGAGAATCTTTCTACATTTAAAGGTTGGGAGAAATCTAAAGTTATTGGATTGCAAGTATCATTTAAAATAGGTGGTAAAGCTAGTCCATTTCGGGCAATTATTAGGCTTTCGGGAATTTCGCAATTGTGATATTTTTGATAAAGAATAATTATTTCTTACAACAACGTGGGGAAATAGTGATATTATTGATTTCTCATTTAGTTATATGAAAGAAAAGTTTAATCTTAGTGAAAGATGTGGTTGAAAATCGTGTGTCAAAATTTAAATTATCAAGTGCAATTAAATAATCAAATACATTGTGAAAATTTAAATAAATAAAATTTCAATTCTGTTGCTTTGGGCAACTGAAAGATATTCGGTGCAGGTCTTATTGATGAGATGAATTTTTGAAAACGGTAGAAACTTTTAATGGATCAGTTTTTACATAGTTTGGATATAAATTGAATGCTAACTCGGAGTTTATAAAGGATTTTGCCGATCCAGTGTCAATTAAGAATTTAATGTGACGTTCATTTTAATTCCAGCTTTTACTAATATATCAATTGCATATTTTTAAATACATAAAATAGATACAAATGACGTTTATATAACGCCTTTAGAATGACGTTAGTTCGTTTTCTTTTCTTTTTTCAATCTGAAGCGTCAGTTTTTGCCGTAATTTCCAAATGAATGAATGTGACTTAGATAATAAAAAGTGCGCGTGCAAATTGACAGTTTAGCGACCATTTACTATTTAAAATTATAACATACATGCAGTTAATTTACTTTGTTTAATAATATTTGCTTAGTACTTAAAGTTAATCATTTTGTTTGATTACAGGTTATGGAAACTAAGAGTATGATATATTTAGTGTCTGAGTATGCAAGTCAGGGTGAAATTTTTGGTAAGTATATTTTAATTACTAAATATTCGAAAATATGCCCAATTTTGCTTGCGTGTTCTCTTCACATACAGGGTGTCCAAAAAGTCTGGACACGCTTGAATATTTAAAGCAATGCTCTTTTAAGCGGAATTGCCATTTTCAATCAGTTGTCAATGATCAGTTGATTAAATGACGTCTGTGGCCCGGTTGCACATAAGCAAGTTCAACGATGGAGTTAAAATCACTTCCTTGGAAAGGGAGTTTTTAAAACAATTTTTATTTCGATTGATATGGATTTCAGCTTCAAGATAC